AAACCAGGACTAAGCCAGGTCTAAACCAGGACTAACCCAGGTCTAAACCAGGACTAACCCAGGTCTAAACCAGGACTAACCCAGGTCTAAACCAGGACTAACCCAGGTCTAAACCAGGACTAACCCAGGTCTAAACCAGGACTAAGCCAGGTCTAAACCAGGACTAACCCAGGTCTAAACCAGGACTAACCCAGGTCTATACCAGGGCTAAGACAGGTCCAAACCAGGTCTAGCCTATAATATACACATACTACACACATAATACACACATAATACTACACACATACTACACACATAATACACACATACTACACACATAATACACACACTACACACATATATACACACATACTACACACATACTACACACACTATACACACATACTACACACACTATACACACATAATACACACATACACACACATAATACACACACTATACACACATAATACACACACCATACACACATACTACACACACTACACACATACTACACACATACTACACACATAATACACACATATACACACATACACTACATACACACACATAATACACACATACTACACACATACTACACACATAATACACACACTACTACACACATAATACACACATACTACACACATACTACACACATACTAATACACACATATACACACATATACACACATAATACACACATACTACACACATAATACACACACATAATACACACATACTACACACACTATACACACATAATACACACATACTACACACATACTACACACATAATACACACATACTACACACATAATACACACACTACACACATACACACATAATACACACATACTACACACACTATACACACATACTACACACATACTACACACATACTACACACACATACTACACACATACACACATAACTACACACATAATACACACACTATACACACATACTACACACATACTACACACATAATACACACACATACATACACACATACACACATACACACATACTACACACATACTACACACACATAATACACACATACTACACACATACTACACACATACACATAACTACACACATACTACACACATAATACACACACTATACACACATAATACACACATAATACACACATAATACACACATACTACACACATACTACACACACATAATACACACATAATACACACACACATAATACACACACATACTACACACACTATACACACAATACACACACAACACACATAATACACACATACTACACACATAATACACACATACTACACACACACAATACACACATACTACACACATAATACACACATACTACACACACTATACACACATAATACACACACTATACACACATACTACACACACTATACACACATACTACACACATACTACACACATAATACACACATACTACACACATACTACACACATACTACACACACTATACACACATACACACATACACACACACATAATACACACTACACACACACATACTACACACATACACACACATAATACACACACACACACATACTACACACATACTAACACACACACATACTACATACACACATACACACATACACACACACACACATATACACACACATACACACACACACACACTACTACACACATACTACACACATAATACACACACACACACATATACACACACATCACATATATGTCCATATAGGTACATTTTATAACTGAACACATTCATACACATTATAATAGATCGAGACACAGACAGAACTCGTTGCGTTCGGTTCTGACCCGATGTTCTGAACAGGAACGTTCTGCTGAATCAAAACAACCTTTAACCCAGTGATTCTGTCGTGTCTTACTCCAGCTACATGTACATATACTCACATCATCATCACTCACAGCCCCTATCCCCGCCCCCTGCACCTGTCCCCGCCCCCTGCCCCCTGTCCCCGCCCCCTGCACCTATCCCCGCCCCCTGCACCTGTCCCGCCCCTGCCCCTGCCCCCCCTATCCCCGCCCCCTGCACCTATCTCCACCCACGCACCTGTCCCCGCCCCCTGCACCTATCTCTGCCCCCTGCACCTGTCCCCCGCCCCTGCACCTATCTCCGCCCCCTGCCCCTATCCCCACCCCCTGCCCCTATCTCCACCCACGCACCTATCCCCGCCCCTGCCCCTATCCCGCCCCCTGCCCCTATCCCCGCCTCCTGCACCTATCAACGCCCCCTGCACCTATCCCCACCCACTCACCTAACCCTTTTCCTATTGTTTCCAGGTGAATAAATGAGGCGTTGTCATGGGCTCAGCAGTGTGCCAGGTTTGTATGTGACAGGTGTATAAGTGACAGGCGCGTACCTGTCGAGGCTGCCAGAGGAGTGGTGGAGTCCTGAGTAGAAGAGAGAGGTGAACTCTGCGTTTAGACCATCTCCTAAAGACCAGCGCTTCCACCTCTGAGCCAGGCGACCAATACTGCCCCCTTCAGGTCTGAAACACGAGAAAACACCACAAGAAAAGTGAAAACACAATGAAAAGTTTAGTTTTTTTTAAGACAATTGTTTCTCAAATTTATCACAACAAACAACACTTCAGAAGAGTTGGCCTTGAACTGACTCTTTTTCATACAGTTTTATAAAACAAGGACGAGGTTTCTAGGACTAAACCGGATCTAAACCAGGACTACACCTCAACAAAGACACACAGGGAGGGTTCTACGTGTATCTCTATGGCGAAATGGTCAGCGGTTACCATGGAAACACAACGTACACATTCACACAAGCAGCCAAAACGCTTTAGGAAACTCTACAAAATACAAAATGGATTTAAAAACACACACATTTTCAGGAGTCTGTGATCAGTTCATGGTCCTGTTAAAAAGGTAAAAAAATAAAGCTCAGATTAATGTCACAAATATTGAACCTGAACATTTCTATTAGTGACTAAACCCAAGAGCTACAACACGAATCTGAAACACCATAATACAGATTTTATTCTTTTATACAAACATTATTTTTCATGTTAGATTTCACAAAAACAGACCTTGCGACTTTTACAGACAGCTCTCCATTAAAAACACCCGAGCTGATCACTGGCCTTTAACCATTTTGTTCTTCTGTGTTTTTCTATTTTCATCATTTTCAGTATTTTAAAATGATTTTTCAGTATCTTTCACTCTGGTCTCTGGTTCGTGGCGGCGTCACGTCTCACACTTTTCACTAATTTACATTTCTGAACAGCCGGAGATCAGAGCAACAACCTGAGGATGTAAAAACACCATTACTCATCCAAACAAATGTGAATGATCTCTGAGCTTATGAGAAAAAGGGACTGTGCAACTGTGCAGCGCCACCTACAGGAGGCAGAAGGAACTGTTTTAGAAGAACGTTAGAGAGGAGGGGGGAGGTTGTGCAAAAGTGATTTTATGGAGATTTCTACCCTGGTATAATGTTATTTACAAATCAAAAACATGCCTGAAGAGTTTAGATGTCATCCGTGTATGTTTGAGTAATCTAGCGATCTCTCCCAGACATATAAATCATGTTTAGTAGCAATGTATCAATAACCGAAATATAGTGATATCGTATCGTCAAAGTTCTCACAATAATATTGTGGACCATCAAAATATATCAAATTTACAAGTCTCTTTGCTTAAATTATTATGAAGTTATGGTCCTAGCCTGATTCTTCAACTGGTTTCACTTCGTACAAACTGAGTGACTCACAGCATTAGGATTCGTTCACTCGACAGTAGACGGGGACTTCGCTGCTGTTTGATCATGATCTATGTAACTGGTTTATTAAACTTTTCCCCAAATCCTGTAGGAAGAAGAACAATAACGTCTTTCTCCTTGATCAAATTCACCAAACATTCTCTTTGTTCAGACTTTAAATCCTCGATCTCGGAAACTGTTCACAACACAGAATGTCTGTCTCTTCTCTGATTGGCTGGAGCCTGAACTCACACTTCCGGGGTTCTTCAAACCGTCTAGTGTTTTCTGATTCCTGATCTAGTCACTGGAGAGAAATGAAACTGAGCGGACGCACTAGGTGGCGCCAGACTAGCTATTATGGTGCAGCAATAGATACAAAAATTACAGAGAGAACTACATAGACCATGATCCTTTGCTCCATTTCAGTGCAGACGACAAGAAAAAATAACAGTTCTAACACTGTTAAGTTTTAGTTCTTTGGCATTTTAAGAAAGAAAAAGTAGAATATTAACAGTTTTAGCTGTTTAGCCTCCACAAAATATCACAATAAATATTGTACGGTGAGATGTATATCGTGAAACGCTCGTTACAGAGAGATTTGGATAATGTTACGCCTCTAATAAATATCGCACCATGAGGTTCATACCACGATGATCGTTACACCCCTGATGTTTAGACGTTGTTTTGGTAAATAAAACATTGAGCGTGTGTTTGGAAACCACAGTGAGATAAAACTGACACTTGTGATAGATACACCGATATATTTAGACTTTTGGCACATCTGCGATCGGCTTTAAATCTCCAACACAGGCCGATATTTAGTTTTGGCCGATCTGCTGCCTAAAAAAACACAAAGTTCTATTTTAACACTTTCAAAACTGCACTAAATGTGACAGCACAGTTCCCGTATGGGTTTGTGTGTGGGCTCTACATATCGGCTCAAAAATATCGGCCATCGGTTGCTCAGGATTCAAAACAATCGGCATGAGCCATGGAAATACCCACATCAGTCGAACTCTGACACTGCAGCTCTGATGTTTACGTACAGATTCAGTGGTTTTCCAGCAGAGGGCACAAGGACTCCACAGTCAGGAGCACTGAGGAGGGAAGCATCTGGAATGAGCGCAGTAGTTGCTTCGCTTTTTGTGAGGACAGTTTTGGTCCTGAAATGATTTGAACAGAGACCAGTGAGGGGAAAATGGACTTTAATGAGCCTTATTAGACAAATTAACCACGTTATAATTGTTTCCCTTCCCAAGTACCATCTAAAAGTTGTACTCAAGAGTGATTCATGCATGTTTTTGTCATCTTTATTCTCTTTATTCTCCTGTATTCAAGACGCCATTGCTCTGATGATGATGATGTTTATTTTATTACTTAAGTAGTTTTAGAACAATATTAATGATTTAAAGTGTCCAAATTATAACGTAATGATCCTCAGGTGTCATAGATTATAACTATAGACCAGACACAAGCACAGTAGGTCTGCTTTAAGGGGGGGCAGTTCTGGATTACCACCTGATGACATCATGCAGTGGGATTAAGAATTGGAAACAGGAGAAGAGGAGGAGGTTTAAGCACATATGAGAGGTTTTCTTGTTTTTCTAATTCTTCATTGGTTTGGTGGATAGGACCTGTGGTATATATTTCACAGTTTTACATCAGACAAGTGGCAGAAAAAAGAGAAGAAAGTACAAAAATACACAAAGAAACACTAAATTGTAAAACAGAATCCCTCTGCTTATGTCATCATGAGGAAAACTCTAAAAATCTAAAGCAGGAGGAAGACATTTTTCTGATAGTTTAAACCTTTGGTTTGTCTTTTTTTGTTTTGGTCTAATCAGAACTATTGTGTCACTTAGTTTCAGTCCTTGTTTACGTTGTGGTCGCTTGGTCATAGTTGTGGAATTAACTGATGCCCGTGTCTGATCAGGAAGTACAAATTATAAACTACGTTAAAATAAAATTTAAAAAAACCTAAAATATATAAAGAGATTTTTTGTTAAAAATAATTATGTAAACTATGTTTTAGTGAAATGACCCCTCACAATCACGTTCAGTTTTAAGTTTTGTTAGTTTTAAGTAACGATCCTAAGACCCGTTTACACTTAAACAAATCTGCGTATCAACGTATCGTAAACGATCCGTGTCCACACACGTCGCTTCTGTGTCCGCAGTCCTTCTTTACCCACACAGCTTTGGGCACATTTGTTTATGTTTTACAGAAATGAAATTTAAAACCACATGGTTCATTTACATAAACTGATCCCTCAAAAAACAACTGTTTTTCATCAGATTAGTGTGAACGAACACTGCACCCACAACCAAAACAACTCCTATACACACTAGTGTGGACGGGGCCTGAAATTTCAAACTCAGTTTCAGTATCAGGGAGTAGATTTGATACTCGATACTGATTCTGATCCCACTTTGTTAATAAAAAACACTCTCTAGACAACAGCATGTGAGATTTAGTATTGATTCGTGTCTGATTTGGGATATTTTTAAGCACCTTAGTTATAAAACGTGTCTCAAAACAGAGAGATAAATGTGACTAATGTCGAACTGCTCAGTGGCAGGAGGCTCCGCTCAGACATTTGGCTCCAGACTCTGGACCCGGCCGAGCCTGAGGTGTGATTTAAATGTGTGAGGATGATGATGGCGATGAGGAATTTGGACGATGAAGATGTGGTTTTCAGACAGAGGTGAGAGAGAGAGAGAGCACCTGTCACACCTGTCGCACCTGTCACAGCCAAACGCATGCACACTCTTTCAAAAAAACAGAAAAAAAAAAATCACTTACACTGGGATTAAAATCATCATAAAACTGTTTTAACAGCTTTGCTTTAGTCCTGGTTTAGTCCTGGTTTAGTCCGGGTTTAGTCCTGGTTTAGTCCTGGTTTAGTCCGGGTTTAGTCCTGGTTTAGTCCTGGTTTAGTCCGGGTTTACTCCTGGTTTCAGCTCCTGTTGAGGTTCAAGGTTAGTCACGACTCCGTCCAAGTGGAGTTGAGGATGTTTTCAGTCTTTTTTCCAGCTTTGTCCTGGTTTAGTCCTGGTTTAGTCCTGGTCTAGTCCTGGTCTAGTCCTGGTCTAGTCCTTTTTTAGTTCTGGTTTAGTCCTTGTTTAGTCCTGATTCAGTAATTTTTTAGTCCTGGTTTAATCCTGGTCTAGTCTTGGTTTAGTCCTGGTTTAGTCCTTGTTTAATCCTGATTTAGTCATTTTTTAGTCCTGGTTTAGTCCTGGTTTAGTCCTGGTTTAGTCCTAGTAAAGTCTGGGTTTAGCCTGGGTTTGGTCCCAGTAAGTTCTTCCAGTTCGGTCTTTAGTCCTGTTTTTTTTTTTTTTTTTTTTTATGAAATCCAAACACATTTCTTTAAAATCTCAGGTTTTCTAATTAAAAATGCACAAAAGTAAAACACAACACAATAAATAATAAAAACGATCATTTAAAAAGTGAAAGCCGTGTTCTGCCGGTCGCGTCCTGAGGTGGTACTCACAGGAGGAGAGTCTAGCCCCGGATCGAGGCGCCTTCAGCGGGTTAAACCTCTCACTAAACTCCCTGGTTCTTGTGCGGATCCACGGGGGGCACAGAGCGCGCCACTGCCCAGGGACGGGCTCTCATTCCCGGGTGTGAAACGGCCACACAGCTGCCTCTCTCTGGAGCCTCCGCCGCCGCACTGAACAACGACGAGCATCACACCTGTTACTCACCAGAGCGAGGGAGCGAGGGAGCGAGGGAGCGAGGGAGCGAGGGAGCGAGGGAGCGAGGGAGCGAGGACG